TGCTTCAGCCTACCAAGTAGTTGGGACTATAGGTGCCCGCCACAACGCCTGACTATTTTTTGGTTGTAGTTGTCATTGTTGTTTGGCAGGCCCAGACTGGATTCAAACCCGCCAGGTCTGGTGTATGTGGCTGGCACCTTAGCCACTTGAGCTACAGGTGCCACCTTGAAATGTTTTCATACAGCCCGTAACAATGTGACTTAAAGAATGGCTCTTCCTTGTGTCACATTTTCCTTGATACACTCCTTAGAATTAATTATCCACCCTCCACATGGATATTCCCAGCACTGACAAGCAAATGCTTATATATGCCTTAATATCTGCATCACTCAGCCCAGCCCCTGCTTCAGGAATGGCAGGGGCTCTTCATTCTTGTTGCTGCCTCCTCCTAACCTTACGGTGTGTGGCTGGGGGTTGGGTGTTGTCAAAGCTTATCAGAGTTGTGGAAAGTATGAAAATTGTATCTCACTGGAAGGTCTTGCTCAAGGCATTTTACCCATTAAAGTTATTAACACAGAAAGTGCATTGCTGGCCTAGAGTGGTAGTTTGCAGCTCAGTGGAAGAACTCTACAGACTAGCAGGCATTGCAGTCTGTTGATTGTCCTGTTGGCCTCTTAAGGATTAGCTTCTGATTGACTGCTGGGAAAATAAGGCTCAGAGTTCTATCTTGGCCTGCTTTTCGCTTGTTCAGAGGGCCTAACAACATAGTTTTAATTATAATAAGGCATATTTTATGAGCCTCAGAGGAGATGGTGATAGATGAGGTTGAAAGCTGATGTACCACCTGTATGGATACATGAAGCCATATCTGGGGGTTCTCCTAATCACACAACCCAGAAAGGACATAAGCCCAGCAAGGTATGGTGTTTGTGTGGAAGTTTTACTGCCAGTTCTATGCCCATCTCTGCTTAGGAGCAGTTGGCAGATTCCAGCTGTGTCAAAAGATGTGAAGCCCAGCTTGGGTTGGGTCCAGGTCTTAGCCTTCACAATGCTGGTGCTTCAGTTGTGAAGCTGCTGAGAGTCAGTTTGGTTTCTACAAAGGGTGGAAGCTGGTATTGTATGAAGTGCCTTTCACATGTGTGATGTGAAATGTTTGTCTGTGAGGAAGTCAAGACTCAAAGAGGTTAAGTGTCAAGCCAAAGGTCTTCTCCTCCAAAGCCCATGAAGTTTCTACTCTGCCTGGATTCACATTCATACTGATTTAGAACCTGAGAATGTTCCTGCTAGAATTTAGAGTCCTACTGTAAGAACATAAAGCATCTCTAATTATCAGGAGAGTTACAAAGAGTTACATGGGCACGTCTGAGGATAGTTTTAATTTTATACTCTTTTGAATGTATGTGAGAATGTTTTTATGCTCAGTGCTCTCCCTTCTGGTGCCTGGCATAATTGTTGTCTGGCTCCTTGTGTAAGGAGTTAATTTTAAGTTGAACCTTCAATAATGCCTGTTTGCCTACTGGACTTTTTCTTCTTTTTTGGAGGAAATACCAGGTTGGTTAGGGTTAGAATGGGGATTTTATATTTGTAACAACTACAGAAGTAACATTACATATTTAAAACCAAAATGCAGCCTATATAATTCTGTAACAGAGATGAACTCCGAATAGTGTATTTTTGGCTCCATTTTTCTTTCTTGGTGCCAAGTTCCCTTTAGTTTTTCTTTCAGAGATATATTAACCCGGACCTGTTGTACCAACAGAGGTGTAATGGACATACCATTAATTTCATTTTTCTTTTGGGTTTTCTTTGAGGCAGAGTCATACTCTCTTGTCCCAGCCTAGAGTGCCATTGGCACATCAACCTAGCTCATAGCAACCTCAAACTCTTGGGCTTCAGAGACCTTCCTGCCTCAGCTTCCTGAGTAGTACCCACCACAATGCTCAGCTAATTTTCTCTAATTTTACTAGAGGTGGGGTCTCATTGTTGCTCAGGCTGGTCTCAACTGCTAAGCTCAAAGGATCCTCCCACCTTGGCTTTCCAGAGTACGAGGATTACAGGTGTAAACCATTGCGCCTGGTCTCATTTTCTTTTGTAACTAAAAAACACTGTGTAAGTTACATGTGGATGTAAATGTGAATGGAATGAAAAATAAAGGTCCCTCCCATTTATGATTCTTAGTTTTCCAAGAGAAGGAAGCATGAAACCAATTTCTTAAGTATCCTTCCAGAGATAGTTTCATCTGGATAAAGGTGTGTTCTATTCAGGCACACTTCAGAAATGTCACAAGTATGGTTTCAGATTATAGTAATAAAGGAAATATCGCAGTAATGCACGTAAATTTTGAGGTTTCCTAATGCATATAAAAGTTATGTTTACACTGTAATAGTCTGTTCTTTGTGAATAGCATTATGGCTAAAAAACAATGCACAGGGCTGTGCCTGGGGCTCAGTGAATAGGGCACCAGCCCCATATACTGAGGGTGGCGGGTTCAAACCCAGCCCTGGCCAAACTGCAACAACAACAAAAAATAGCCGGGTGTTGTGGTGGGAGGCTAAGGCAAGAGAATTGCCTAAGTCCAAGGGCTGGACATTGCTGTGAGCTGTGACGCCACGGCGCTCTACCAAGGGTGACAAAAAAAAAAAAAGCAAAGCACATACCTTAATTTGTTAAAAATACTTTATTGCTGGGCAGCACCTACAATGGCACTCTAACAAGGTTGACAAAAGAAAAAAAAAAGCAAAGCACATACCTTAATTTATTATAAATACTTCATTGCTGGGCGGCGCCTCTGGCTCAGTGTGTAGGGCGTTGGTCCCATATACCAAGGGTGGCGGGTTCCAACCCGGCCCTGGCCAAACTGCAACAAGAAAATAGCCTAGCGTTATGGTGGGCGCCTGTAGTCCCAGCTACTCAGGAGACTGAGGCAAGAGAATCGCCTAAGCCCGGGAGTTGGAGGTTGCTGTGAGCTATGATGCCAATAGAAAAAACTCTATTCCTTAAAAATGCAATCATCTGAGCCTTCAGTGAATGGTAATTTTTTTTTTAGAGACAGTCATTCTTTGTCACCCTTGGGAGAGTGCTGTGATATCATAGCTCACAGCAACCTCCAGCTTTTGGGCTTAGGTGATTCTCTTGCCTCAGCCTCCTGAGTAGCTGGGACTACAGGCACCCACCACAATGCCTGGCTATTTTTTTGTTGCAGTTTGACTGGGGCTGGGTTTGAACCCACCACCCTCGGTCTATGGCGCTGGTGCCCTAGTCACTGAGCCACAGGAGCCACCCAGTGAATGGTAGTTTTTTTTGCTGATGGAGGGTCTTTCCTCAGTGTTGATGGCTACTGACTGTTCAAGGTAGTAGTTGCTGAAGATTGGGGTAGCTGTGGCAACTTCTTAAAATAAAACAACGATGAAGTTTGCCATATCATTTGACTGCCTTTCATGAAAGATTAAAGATTTCTAGGTGGCGCCTGTGGCTCAAAGGAGTAGGGTGGTAGCCCCATGTGCGGGAGGTGGCAGGTTCAAACCCAGCCCCGGCCAAAAATAAATAAATAAAAATTTATTCTCGGCTCGGTGCCTGTGGCTCAAGCGGCTAAGGCGCCAGCCACATACACCTAAGGTGGCAGGTTCGAATCCAGCCCGGACCCGCCAAACAACAATAATGGCTGCAACCAAAAAAATAGCTGGCGTTATGGCGGGCGCCTGTGGTCCCAGCTACTGGGGAGGCAGAGGCAGGAGACTCGCTTGAGCCCAGGAGTTGGAGGTTGCTGTGAGCAGTGAAGACATAGCCCTCTACCCAGGGGAACAGCTTGAGGCTCTGTCTCAAAAAAAAAATTTACTCTTAAAAAAAAAAGATTTCTCCATAGCATGCAATGCTGTTTGATAGCATTGTACCCATAGTAGAAATTTCAAACTTGGAGTCAGTCTTCTCCAACCATACTGTTGCTACCTTATAAACTGAGTTTATAGAATATTTTAAGTGCATTATTGAAGACACCTACAATTTTAAGTTGTCTTCCACATTTGTTTTGGCCCATTAAGCATTCACAATTAAAAGCCAAACACCCATGCTGTGTTCGATAGTCAGTAAAGTGTCAGTACTTACATATGAGCATCAAATGCTGATTTTCCAAAATTGGAATCCAGTAGCATTTGGGGACATTTGGCAGAGTGGTAGAAAGTGAAAATAAACTGGGAACATAGGCCTAATTTGTATCCTGAAAACCCTGGAGGTCTGAGAGCTCTGCTGGTGAAAGGAGGGAAGGCTCCTGTGGTCTCTTCCTGTGAGGAACTAGCAGCACTCTGCACTGAATGTGGCTATGGCCTGGGTACCAAGGGATCCTGGTCCCCTGGTCTACCTGGTCGGCTCAGGCCTGGAGGGAGGTCACAGCTGTGGAGCACACTGGCTCTGCAGCAGGGCTGTGGAAAGATCTGGAGTGGGAGGTATAGGCCCATGGTTGAGGGCCCTCTGGGATAGGCCCTTTCCTTCAGCCCTGCACGTTTTCCTCTGAGCTCCCCCACCCATGTTGGGACAGAGTGTGCCCCCTCCCAGGAGCCTTGGTCAGTATTGAGTAAGTAGACATTATACTAGATCAATAACCTGCAATAGCCACAGTGACGTTTTAGAACCAGACTAGTCCATGGATCTTCTTACCTCACGTTCTCTTGCAATTTCTTGCTTACCATTCTCCCCAGAATGAAATGATTATGCTAGGACAATATGTTAGTTATTATTTTAATGAATTAAGTTCTAGACCTCTGCAGGATGTGATATGGCATCAGTATATTTACATGGGCATATTCTGGTAACTGTTTTAGATGTAATGTAGTATTCAATTTTTACTAAGAGTACCCTTTTTATTCTGACCTGACTTCTGCCTGTTATTCATTAAAGTTGTGTTGTGTTCCCATTAACATGGTTGATAAAAGTTTTGTTTTTTGTTTTCTAGTTATGAAAAACCACCTCCTGGGCTTATCAAGGTGAGTGTGACATTTGTATTCCTGGTTATTCCTTTAGAGATTCTTGCATACTCAGTAACTTATGAAAAATGGTTACCTAAGGTTTAAATCTCCTTCTGTGAAACCCCATTTCTTCCCTGCAGATGCTAGATAGGTCATAATTTTTGGCTTTGACACAAGCCTGTGCCTTTGTGGCAATTTTATCACCTGGGTTTCCCTTCCCCAAGGAACCAGCACAATTTTAATGTGTCCAAAAAAAAATAAATAAGCTGCGTTATTATTACATGCCATTTTTATTATTCCAGAAAACTTTGTTTACTTAAATTTTTATATCTTACTTTTTTTTTTTTTTTTTGAGACAGAACCTCAAGCTGTCCCCCTGGGTAGAGTGCTGTGGCATCACAGCTCACAGCAACCTCCAACTCCTGGGCTCAAGCAAGTCTTCTGCCTAACCCTCCCAAGTAGCTGGGAACACAGGCGCACGCCACAATGCCCGGCTATTTTTTTTGGTTGCAGCCGTCATTGTTGTTTGGCAGGTCCAAGCTGGATTGGAACTCACCACCTTAGGTGTATGTGGCTGGTGCCTTAGCCACTTGAGCCACAGGCTCTGAGCCTATATCTTACTTTTATTCTACATTTTGAGGTGGTGAAACATTTTTTTTCTTCTTTTTAGGTAGAACCTTACTCTGTTGCCTGGGCTAGAGTGCTGTGGTGTCATCATAGCCCACAGCAACCTCAAACTCCTGGGCTCAAGCATTCCTCCTACCTCAGCCTCTGGAGTAGCTGGGACTGTAGGTACAGGCTTGCACCACTACACCTGGTTGATTTTTTCTGGGTGTTTTTATAGATACAGGGTCTCACTCTTCATCAGGCTGGTATTGAACTCCTGGGTTCAAGAGATCCTTCAGTCTCAGCCTTGGCTGGAGTACTAAGATTACAGGCATGAGCCACTATACCTGGTGTAACTTTTTCTTTTAATCTCAGAATCTAATTTTGGAGCTCACCAATCATTTTGATAGGAAGGACAGATTTTTTTTCTGCTTCACCAGTAACTTTTCTTGAAGAATATTATTTTGTGGTATGGTTCTTCTGGTACATTGATTTCCTGCTTTTACTTTTTGTTGTTGTTGTTGAGACAGAGCCTCAAGCTGTTGCCCTGGGTAGAGTGCTATGGCATCACAGCTCACAGCAACCTCCCAACTCCTGAGCTCAAGCAATTCTCTTGGCTCAGTCTCCCAAGTAGCAGGGACTACAGGCATCCACCACAACAACCGGCCGTTTTTTGGTTGTAGCTGTCATTGTTGTTTGGCAGGCCAGGGCTGGATTCAAACCCGCCAGCTCTGGTGTATGTGGCTGGCGCCTCAGCCACTTGAGCTACAGGCACCAAGTCTGTTTCCTGTTTTTTTAATCAGGTATAACTTGTCTTTCTTTCTGGTTCTTGAGAGGTAATAAAGGATGTCATTAGGACCTGCTACCCATGACTGAGCCAAGTGATGGTGGGCTCTAGTAGGTGGGAGAGAATTCCAGTGCTCTTTTGCTGTGTTGTTTATACCTTGTTTCTTTTGTTTAGGAAGATGAGACTAAGCCAGAAGACTGTATACCAGATGTACCGGGCAATGAACATGCCAGGGAATTTCTGGCTCATGCGCCAACTAAAGGACTTTGGATGCCACTGGGGAAAGAAGTCAAAGTCATGCAATGTAAGTGTGGGAATGTTTCACATGACGCTCACCAATCCATGCAAGTTTTATACTGCAATCTATAAAGTGTGTTACTTCTTTTACTTAACATGTTCTCATCATAGTCCTTCAAAAGTCATGTCATGGTCTCCTTTTTCTAGATAGGGAAGTAGGTTTGCATATATCAGTCAGTAAGAGGCTGAAGGGACGAGGTAGAGTAAACTCTTGACTCTAGGGCCTCTGATTTCAAGTCCATGGCTTTCCTTGGGACCAGTAATTCCTTAGGAGTACATTCTTTTTTGTTTTTTTAAAGACAGAGTCTTACTTTGTTGTCCTTGGTAGAGTGCTGTGGCATCACAGCTCACAGCAACCTACAGCTCTTGGGCTTAGGCAATTCTCTTGCCTCAGCCTCTCGAGTAGCTGGGACTATAGGCGCCCGCCACAACGCTCGGCTATTTTTTGTTGCAGTTTGGCTGGGGCCGAGTTTGAACCCACCACGCTCAGTATATGGGGCCAGTTCCCTACTCACTGAGCCACAGGCGCCTCCCAGGAGTGCATTCTTCAATGATAGCCTGTAATGAAAAGGACATCTATGTAGAAATGCCATGGGAGTGAGGGCTGCTCGGGAGAGCTGTTCTCTCCATTGGTCACCTTTTCTTAGTGGTAAAAATAACCACTGTAACTCAAGAGAAGCCCAAGAGTTTGGATCTGCATAGGTAGAGCTCTTTCTGCACATCTCCTGCCCCACCATAGCGGTAACACATTCAAGAACATAACAAAATACCCTTGAAAGATAAAGCTCTTTTAGTTATCTGTTTCGATGTTTATCTCCATGTGTCTTAACGTATTATGGCTCCTTGAGTTTTTAGGTTTGGCCATGATCTGGTGCTTCCTAAGGTGGAACATTTTTCTTTCCTGCTTCCACCACACCCATGTGCCCTTACTATATCTCATTTTCCCAATAATTATACCATAATTTAGTACTTATTGTGTTAGGTGTGTCTTTTGTATTTATTATAACTACGTTCAGAGCTAAGTCATAACCTGCATAATGTCCTTCCCTCCCAAAATTAATGGTGGTTTTGTTTTTGTTGTTACTGAGGGGTTTTTTTTTGTTTTTGAGACAGAGTCTCGGTAGAGTGCTGGGGCATCACAGCTCACAGCAACCTCAAACTCTTGTGCTCAAGTGATTCTCTTGCCTCAGCCTCCCAAGTAGCTGGGACTTAAGGCACCCGCCACAGTGCCCAGCTATTTTTTTGTTTTGGCAGGCCTGGGCTGGATTCTAACCCACCAGCCCTGGTGCATGTAGCCAATGCCCTACTCACTGAGCTATGGTACCACTGTGAGTTTTGTTTTATTGTTGTTATTTTTGCTTTCCATGTGCTGATCTCTCATTCAACCTTAAATTGTTCCCAAGTTTTGGACTTAAGACCTTCAGTTCACATGCTTGAGATGTTCTGTCAGTTCATCTTTCTGAAAACAGCTTCTCCGTATACATGGATTATAGACTGAATGTTTGTGTCTCCCCCTACTCTGTAATTTGTATGATGAAGCCCTAATCTCTAATGTGATATTTAGAGACAGGGCCTTTGAAAAGTACTTAGAGTTAGATGAGTTCATGGGGGTGAGGTGACATCACTCATGATGTGATTAGTGCCCTTTGAAAGATGAGATACTAAGGATTTCTCTCTTTTTTTCCTACCCCACCCTCCTCCCCAACTATGTGAGGACAAAGTAAGAGGGCAGTCATCTGCAAACCAGGAACGAAGCTCTCACCAGAAACCCACCTTACTGGGACTATAATCTCTGATATCCAACTTGTAGAACTGAGAAAATAATTTTCAGTTTATTAAGGCCACCCAATATGTGGCCTTTTGTTATGTCAGCCCAAGCTAAGATACCATCATTCTGCAGGTTTCCTTAGCCTGTCTTTTATATGGGATCACCCATTTTCCTGTGTTTTTGAGTCACCTCATTATAATATTTTCTTTTATGGTGTAATGAACCCTGTGACAGTTTCTTTTAAAGTGGGTTTATAGGAGATAGAATTTTCAAGGCCTTTTCTTAATACAATTTTATTTTCAATTTTTTAATTTGCCAAAATATAAAATTGTAATTTATTCTTGTCATGGAGACTGATCTGAAAAAAGAAAAAGAAAAAAAATAATAAAATAAATAAATGATGCTGGCCCCATATACCAAGGGTGGTGGGTTCAAACCCAGCCCTGGCCAAACTGCAACAAGAAAATAGCCGGGCTTTGTGGCAGGCTCCTGTAGTCCCAGCTACTCGGGAGGCTGAGGCAGGAGAATCACCTAAGCCCAAGAGCTGGAGGTTGCTGTGAGCTGTCATGCCACAGCACTCTACCGAGGGTGACAAAGTGAGACTGTTGTCTCTTAAAAAAATAAAAATAACGGGCCGCGTCTGTGGTTCAAAGGAGTAAGGTGCTGGCCCCTTATGCCGGAGGTGGCGGGTTCAAACTGAGCCCCAGGCAAAAACTGCAAAAACAAAACAAATAAATAAATAAATAAACATCAAATTTTAAATTATAATTCAGTTTCCTTTAGAATTTTAGTCATTACATCATTATTTTAACATTTCTAGAATTGTAGTTGAGAAGTCCAAAGTAATTCCAATTCTTGATCTTTTGACAAGAGCTTTTTTGTTGTTTTGTTTTTAATTTTTCTTCAGTGGAAGTTTATAGAATGTTCTCATTCCTCATATTATACAGTTTCACTGTAGAGACATTTTATAAACTCTTTCTCTCTAGAGATGCTTGTCTCTCAATGTAAGAATCTTTTTTCTTTCCCACTTCTGTGTTCATAATTCTGTTCTTCAGATAGTGGACTTCCTGGACTGATTTTCTTAATATTTTTCTCTCCTATTTTTATCTTTCATGCCTATTTTCTCCTTTCTAGAATATTTTAACTTTATTTTTCAATTATTAGTTTTTGCATTTTTGTTGTCATATATTTAAAATCTTTTCTGTTCTCTGAGTGTTCTTTTCTAGTATGCTATTTTTTTTTCTTTTTTTTGGAGACAGAGCCTCAAGCTGTCCCCCTGGGTAGAGTGCTGTAGCATCACAGCTCACAGCAACCTCCAACTCCTGGGCTCAAGCGAGTCTCCTGCCTCAGCCTCCCAAGTAATTGGGACCACAGG